TTTAAATTGTGCGCATGTCAGTGTCATCTGACCAACAAGCGTATGTCAACAGAAGTTCCATCTGACAAATGAGCGTATGTCACTGCCATCTGACAAAATGTGCGCATGTCAGCAAAAATCTAGTCAAATGTGCGTATGTCACTGACTTACGTATATTTGGTCAGATGACAGCTTGGTAGCAAAACAGCGTATGTCAGTCTATCTTGCAAACTATTGCGTTCAAGCAATTTTTTTCTTTACTATACTTTTAAGTATTTATTAATAGATAACTTCTAGCTGTTACATCCATTTCTTTAAAAAAATAGATTGATGGCACAGAAAAGAGCTTCCCCTGTAAAATTCCAAATTTGTGACATACGCACCTCTGTCAGATGACAGGTGATCTCCTTCTAGTGAGACTGACACACAGACACACAGAAACGAGGTCGTTTGAATGGATAGCTTTTTCAAAGCAGGAGGTTGGGATAGCTTTTTCAAAGCAGAAGAGCGGGCTAAAAAACAAAAGGGGTCGTCAATTTGACCGCTTCGGTCCTCCTAGTGATATGGCGAAACGCAACTTATTAGAACCCTTGGCTTAAGACGAGAATTCTGTCCATTTTATAACCTATGAGATTGTTATTGTTTCCGTCCATCGGTTCTAAACAATACTCTTTCGGTTAACACTGAAATTCTTTCAGGGATCGTTCGCATATAAGGCAGGTCGGTCACTTACCTGTGTGTCCAAATTCACATTGGTCTCGATCTCCTGGGCCACAGCCATCATGCCGCCTATAATTTGACCCATGTTTGCGCGCCGGTAGACAAATACACCCTGAGCGAAGACGGCCGACAAGATGGCCGACACTACTCTGATGTTTAGACTGGCGTCGAGGTACGACTTTGCCGCAATCCCGTCCGCTACGGCGAGTAATGCCACCACCACGGAGACCACCAACGACACCTACTAGGAGCAGAATGTTGTATAGCCTGGTTGTATTTACTGAAAAAACAAACAAATGTGAAGTACGTGCCGTTACGTGTTGCACTCTACGAAGAGAACAATGCTTGACGCTGCCTCCCCATCATGCCTTATCCTCTTTGCTATAAGGAGAATGCGTCCGAGATCGTCCTCTTCGATAGTCCATGATAAAAAACCGGGCTTATGCAATATTGCAAATATCCAAACGATGTGGCAACACCGCACGCTATTAGTTTCCAGCGACAAACTCTTAGTTGTGAACAAAATTCAAAATTCTGGCCACGGTGTTTGATTTTGATGACTACTCCGCATCAAACACCATGGCCAAAATTTCAAATATTGACCACAGTGAAGAGGTTGTCGCTACAAAATAGCGATATTTGGGCGACTGTACGAATATCCGCTTTGGATAAAACGTCTATTGATCTCGGCCCCGTCTTTTGGTCTGACCGTCTGTGGTACTATAAGGAGATGAGGTAGACCACTTAGAAAAACCATCCAACAAAATTACTTATCTATTGAACTCACCTCTTTTTTATCGATAGCCATTGGTTGCCAGGATTTGGATCGACCATTTGGATGGCCAGAAAAGATCTCTAAGATACCCTGAAAATATCAAACCTAGAACATCTCCGTCTTGGGGAACAGGCAGACTGACAGTCATGAGTTCAATTGCATAAGACCGCTTTATTGCTATTCAAAGCAGAAAGGAAGGCTAACAACAACGGACGCAACATGTGCTACAGCACTGTCAAAAAATGTGGTTAATTAACAGCGAAAGTGTACGCGTGCAGTTTTTTTAAACAAACATGTCAAAAATCAGCATTGATAAAAATATTGGAAATAAAGTTTCCGAACGAAAACAGTCACTTACGTATTGCCCCTGGGGAAAAGAAGTTGTAATATTACGATTGTGTTGGTTTGGAACGAAATGTGCTGCTAACAAGATTAATTACACGTTTCTTTTAAAATTACTAACGCAATACCGAGTAGTTTCTGCTATGGGCCATCAAAGGCCAAATACCACTAGTTTCGGGAAGGCTCAAATGAAAACATCATAGTTGTTATAAAAGAGGAGTGTCACCACGCAATCCGTCGTCAATTGTAAATTATTTATGCAGTGTAGAGGCACGAAATCGTAAGCATCAGATCAACCAGTCTATCCTGGAGGTAGGTAAGTACGTTGATTGGAACTGGTAGTGTTCCACAAAACCAATGGGAAATTTGACTTAATATTTACTGATGTTGTACCTTTTCAAAGGAAGCAAGTATCACCGGGTTTTCCAGGAGCAACGAGACCCTGACCTTTTCATAGGTGGTCACGCCACACGCCACACTCACGGACCAGCCCCATATATAACACGTTGACCAGGTTGACCAGCGGTTGCCGCATCTCACACCGAGGGTTTTCAGCACACACACAGGCAACCCAGTTCCTAAACTAAATAAATGTACTAGAAAAACCAAAAACCTGCGCAATTTTGAGTCAGCATTGTACTTGATTCAAGAAAAGCTACCTCTAGGGTCCAGGGTCCAGTGCAATGCTGCCTTAAGGGGGCAGACCTGTGAAGGTGCCCCCACAATGAGCGGGAGGCGATGCTGGGTAGGCATGCCGTGTGTGGCCAGGCCGTGTGCCCAGGCCGTGCCAGTTGCGCGGGGCTACGCTTGTGATCGTCTTATTGAAGCTGTTTTCGCAAGAAAGTGGTTGAACCTGCCAGCACGGCTTACCAGCACGGCCTGGCCGCACGGCATCGCCTACCCAGCATCGCCTCCTGCTCATTGTGGGGGTACCTTGAAAGGCAAGGGTTTGCGAGAATCGTAACTACAAGAAAACTAGGCATTGTTATAGACAAAGAGGCTGATCCCTGGTCGCGGAAGCGATGTGCATTTCCGTTGTTTTGTGATTTTGTTATGTTGGCAATTCCTTATCATGGATAAGTAATTTTCAACTTCTCTCCTCCTTAGTTTTTTTTTTTTTTTTTTTTGTACCCATTTTGCCCATTTACTCGACGCCGCTGGCGCCGCTCCTCGCGCGTACGAAATATACCTCAGTTCTATCATGTCGTTCTCATGCGCAGGCTTGCCAACGCACAGACTGGAACATAAGGAGTTTTAGAAGCAAGCGCTTATTTTAACCTTGACCTCAGTTATCTTTCCAACGGTAATAATTGCTCTAGAATTAGTTTTGCAGCAATTCTTTTTTGTACTCTCATCAGAACAACATATCTTTGACTCACATTAACCCTATAAACTTTACCATTGGGAAGGTTGGATCCCCATAAGTTGCGCCGTGATCTCCCAAACTCCTGGGGGCTACTCGACTCGACTGTTAAGGCTTTGTTTTTGTTTTGTTTTTGCATGGAAGTGTTCACGTTTTATTAATGATGTCCCACCATGAAATAAGCCCACTCTTCTGCTTAGAAGAAAATTTGGAACCGACGGCTTACTTCTCAGACAGAAGTGTACTTCTGAAAAAGTAAAAATATTTCTGTATTTGCCAGTTTGGTGAGAAAAACTCCCTTTTGTAAGTAAACAGGACAAAACTTTAGCCTAAGAGGCTCTACTTTCAAAAGTTACCCCTTAGGACACCATCAAATATTTTCTAAAATTTATATATTTATTTTTTGGGACATTTTCGTGAGAGAAACTCGCTTTAGCGCCTAAACGGTGAGAGATAGAGCCAAACGGACGTGCCCAGTGCCCAGAGAGCTCTACCCTTCACGGGTTACCCCTTTGGAGACCATACAAAAAAAAAATTCCCACTTCTTAGACCAACCCCTATTTCTTTGTTACCCTCTCAGACCCACTCAGAGGTAGTTGCCAGGATTTGCACCAACCGTTTCGTTGTCCAGAAGTGACAACAATAATACCCTGAAAATTTCAAACCTGTAGCTCACGTCCTTCTTGGGAAACGGACAGACAGACAGACAGACAGACGAACACAGAGGCGATGGCATAAGCCCGCCTATATAGCTTTTAGGCAAAAGAGCGGGCTAAAAATCTATTCAAAAATCTGTAGTTTGAATATGCAGGTTTTTCAGCATCCGTGATACAACTAGGTAGATGTACGCCAGACCACGTCTCGCGTAACAGGCTTCGCGAAATCTCACGAAACACTGTTGCGCTGCGACGCGCCTGGCATACATCTACCTAGGCCTGCGGCGCTGACACCCGAGTCGGGTATCGCTATTATGAACACAAAGATACGGGCCTCCGGCCCGTCAACTTCCCGTCACTTCGACTAAGCATGCAGCGTTGTACATTTTTTCGCTTATTTTCGTCAAAAACTCCATGGGGCGCCTAAACGGTTAACGATAGACCCAAACGGACGAAATTTTCGTCTTTAGAGCTCTACTGTGATGAGCTACCTCTTAGAAAACATTAAAAAAATCTTTTTAAAAAACATCATTTTGGGGACCTGTGGTTTTTGATTTTTTTAAATCCAATTTTTGAGCTAGAATGCTCTTCTTCGAACTTGGTCTGTCTTTTTATGACATAAAACGACCCTGAAAATCCCAGGTCGCTAGCTCAATTCGTTCTCGAGTTATCGTGCGCACAGACAAACACACAGACACACACCGAACCTGAAGGATGGCGGTTCGATCCCAACCAAGGACAGTGCCGAATGGAGAGATATATCCTCACCTGGGCATAGCCCTCTACCCCACAGCTAAAACGTCGCTCGCCATGTGTTCATTTTTAACATTTTCAAAAATATTTTCATACCGGCTGTCTGAATTTTCAGACGAAGTGGTATGGTAAGGCAGTACTGAATTTTCAGACTACTGGTCTGTGAAAAAACTTCAGACTAAAAGTACTGAAAATTCAGTAAAACTTTTTTTAGAGTGTGATTTTATATTAACGTCCAATGCTCTGCCAATATTTCAAAAACATTTTTATTTATTTATTTGTTTAAGTAAAATATTGATGTTAAATAGGTTGGGTTTAAAAATTAACGACCGAAAAAGAAATAACGAAAAAGTTGTTTACATCTGAATATACCGGTATCGGTACCGTCACATGAAAGTTATTTAAGTGAAAACCGGTGAAAACCCCGGTTACGGAAGCCTGATCAACACTGCATTCTGTGGCAATATGCTTTCGGACTCTAAAAAGGAGGAGAGTGAACATAAATTTAAGACCCTTACCTTCGTGCCCTGGGTCATGTTAAATGCCCTGTTACGCAGCATTCCTTTCTCAGGGCATATCTTCTTCTGGAATTGATCAAGGTACCAGCTCAGCTTCATGTTCGAAGAAGGAATGACGCCACACTAAAAACAATGAAACCGAAGTATCAAATTAATGATGGTTGACGAGAAAAAAACCTTATCTCTTGCTAACGTGCCAGCAGATGGTACTAAAGCATCCTGGTAAATCTGAAAAACCGGAAGAATGCGGGGAAGAAGGAAACGGAAATGATTAACGTAGGCAGGACTTTCGTTTTCTTGTTCCCTGCGTTCTTCTGATCGCAAACAACGACAGCATGAGGACTTTTGGAAATAACCATTTTTTTAATAATTAAATGTATTGTTGGCATTGTTGCTCCAAACCCCATCATACATATACTCGTTTGAACCGGAATTTCGCGACGAGAGTGATGGTGTTCTCAAAAATAATTTTACTTTTGAAGGAGAGAAATTAGTTTTAGAAAGTGTGAGACACAGTGGGCTGACAGTTTAAACTGTCATACTGTCTCACACTTGAGTTTGCAGAGTAATTATAAGAGGGGGAATTCAATATGGCGGCCGGGTGACGTCTGCATGGACCATACCAACCTCAGGTCGTTGACGCGTACCGACTCGGTTTCTCGTGTATAGGATGTTGTAGGTTCTCCCCTTTAAAATGATATAGGCCACTTAAGACTTCTTTTCATTGTAGGCAGAGATACCCGAGAAATGGTGTGCCTGGTCTGAGAGCAGAGGTCGAGCGGCCTCCATATTTGATTACACCTCTTGCTAAGTCGGAAAATACTTCCATGTGACATTTAAATTTTGGGGGGCTGAGCGAGGCTCAGTACTCCACTGACCGAGAACACTTCATTCTGTTTGTTTGTTTGTCTGTCTGTTTGTTTGTGCACACGATACCTCGAGAACGACTTGATATAGAAACCTGGGAATTTCAGGGTCGTTTTGAATCATAAAAATACAGATCTAGTTCGAAGATGAGCATTCTAGCTCAAAAATTGGCTTTAAAAAAATCAGAAACCACAGGTTGCAAAATTTACTTATTTTTTTCAGAATTTTTTTTTAGGCGCTCCTAAAGGGGTCCTTGGAGACAGTAGAACCCCTTGGACGAAAATTTCGTCCGTTTTGCCCCATCTTGTACCGTTTCGATGCTATGGGGCATTTCGTGGCGACAACAACGTAAAAAAGACGAATTGGCCTGTTAAATCGTAAAAAAAGGTTCATGTCACAGAATAGGGTGTTTCACCCAGTTTAAACCGGATCCAAAGAAGAACAATAATGCTTCCTGAACTGTTTCCTCCTTGGCGCTCATTGGCTAACGCGGACGAAGTTCTCGGACTCGTCACTTGGACAGTCGCAGACCTGGTGGCGGGTTCACGAACTTCGCCCGCGTCAGCCAATGAGCTTCAAGGCGGAAATAGGGTTGGAAACATTTTTCGCCAAATCGAATTTTTGCCAAATCGATTTTGAAAAAAGCCAAATCGATTCGGGTCGATTTTCAGATTGCCCAAATCGATTTTCAAATCGAATTTCGATTTTTTTTCGAAATAACACAAAAAACGGGGGAAATTGAAAATAAACAGGCAACTTTTGTAATATTGGTAAGAAAGCTATATTAAATCTATAAATTTAGATTTGTTACATGTTATATTACATTACAAACACATCACAGTATGACAATATACTTTGTCGACTAGAAATTCGTCAAATATTTGGTAAAATGAACAATTCAGCAGCCACCAAATTAATATAAATTAAAATTTAATTTAATTTTAAAATCTAGGCTGGAAACCAGTCGCGTTCCTCAACAGAACGCAAGAAAATTAGCTCATCAAGACGGTGCCCCGAGAGGCGGGACCGTAGTTGAGTTAAAATCAACCCCGCATGAGAAAACAGCCTCTCACACAGGGTTGAAGTGGCCATGATTGGCAGTATTTCCCTAGCCAATGCGTAGACCGTAGGGTACATGCCCTTGATTGTTTCTAAATATTCTATAGGGTTTGGCCACTTTTTCCTGTCACAGTTAAGGTACTGGAGGAGCTCATGAAGGTGCCCCCACAATGAACGGGAGGCGAGGCGGTGCCGGGTAGGCGATGCCGTGCGGGCCGTGCGGGAGGCCGTGCCGCTTGCGCGGGGCTA